GTTGCAATCCCCTTGGGTTTCCCATCACCAAATCACCCATGTGCCATCACCATACGCTTGGAAGCTATTAACCCACTCACAACCCACAATGTCCAGGTCATACACCCAACCAGTTATATCAGAATCTTCAGGGATAGAACTTGGCATTAGTGTTGTTTAAGCTCCATGAGTAATCTAAGGTAAATGCAGTCCAAGTAAAAAACCAAAGGTCTAGTGGACCAACTTTGTTGTTTAAGCTCCATGAGTAATCTAAGGTAAATGCAGTCCAAGTAAAAAACCAAAGGGCTAGTGGACCAACTTTGTAAAAATGGGATTTATCTGTGTGTTATAAAATGTTGCATAGTGTAAGGCAGGGTTACCATATGCTCCAGCAATTCTGCTCCTAGGTATCTACTGAAAGGAATTGAAAAGGGTTCTAACAAATGCTTGTACATGAATGTTTATAACAGCATTATTCATAATAACCAAAAGGCATAAATAATAAATGCTTATCAACAGCAGACTGGATAAACAAAACATGGTCTGCTCACACTGGAATATTATGCAGCCATGAAAACGAACAAAATACTGACACATGCTAAACATGCATGAATCTCAAGCACATTATGCTAAGTAAAAGGCACAAAAAGTAGATTAATGGTTGCCATTGGTTGATGAGGGAAAAGTGCGCAGTGTCTACTTAACAGGTATGGGGTTTCTTTTCATGGTGATGAAAATGTTTTGGAATAAGAAGTGGTAGCTGGACAACACTGTAAGGGTCTTAAATCCTGCTGAATTATATACTTAAAAATGGTTCACTTTACGTTATGGAAATTTCCCTTCAATTTAAAAATATGTTACAAGGCTATTCTGGTGGTGCAGAGGTTAAAGTCTCAGCACTATGAAGCTGTCGGCAGCCACTATAGTATGCGTTATAGTATGCGTTCGATCCCCCACCAGGGAGCAAACCCACATGGTGCAGCAGACCTCTCCTTTCTCACCCACTGCTCTCCTCAGCAGTTTCACCTGTTCTGCTCCCCACTCTGTCTCTGGTGGATCCTCTCAAGCTCCCATCCCTGCCCCTGCACCTCTGGCCTACACCCCCCTTGTTGTTTGCATAAATAAAAATAAACAAATAAAAATATGTTACAAGGTGTCCTTGAATCTGGGCATATAGCAGAAATGTCTCCCAGCATTTGTATTCTGGTCTGATGTACTGGCCAGCCCCTGAGCTACAGGGAGACAGTGGTGGCCCCTGAGCTACAGGGAGACAGTGGTGGCTGGGTTCAGAAACCCCGAGGAATGTCTTAATGCAGACCGACTGAGGACTTGTGTGCCTTTCTAATATGTGCTTTTCCCCCTTGAGGTTTGCTGGGAAAACAGTTACTCATGGAATTTCCAACCACAGACTGAGTTTGGAGTGTTTCTTCAATCTCATTGTTTTCAAAGAACTTGTGTCCATGAAACCAAAATAGCAAGGGAAAATATGGTCAATTTTCTGGTCTCAGCAAATTCTGAACCACTTTGGGCCTAATTCATCCCCCCTCCCACTCCTGGCAAGTGCTACCCCCAATTGCTCCTCACGTCAAGATTCAGAGTTTTTTTCAAAACAAAACTATCTCAGGGTAAACAAATGCTGTAGGGGAGATCATCCCCACCCCAACCCCTGGCTCTGACTTTATGGTGACCTCAGAACTTGCTTCTCACACTAAGCAGCTATCTTTTGTGACAGGAATGAAAAGACCATGGATTCAAGCTGCAGCTTTGCTGGCCAAATTGAGTCACGGGAATGAAGAAATCACTTTGTTTCCAGAGGAGTGGTCTGCTGAGAGCCTGTGGACCTCGAGGTAGAGAGCTGTTCCTCAGCAGAGAAAACAGAAGATCTCAGAAAGATCTCTTGGCCTACACATTGATACAGTCTATACAGAAATAACTTAAGTGTTCAAACCAGTGAACTGTTCGAGGGAATATGAGGTAAGCACAGAGATAGTACCCAACATTTCACAGTGCCCAAGAAAGAGGATTTGTTCTGCTTGGAGTATAAAGCTGCTTTCTCCATTGAGCCTTTCTTTTTCCTTTTAAATCAAGTTGATTGAGGTATAATTTATTTGCAATAAAATATACCCATTTTAAGTGTACAACTCAGCAAGTTTAACAAATGTCTTTACCCATGTGTACAACCACCACTGCAATCAAGATTGACAACACTCCTACCTCCCAGAAAGTTTCCTCTGTCCTCTCGAACATCAGTCCCCTCCCCGTCCTTGACACCAGACAACCACCAATCTGCTTTCTGAACTATAGGTTCACTTTGCCATTCTAGAACTTCATACAAATGCAATCAAATGGTTCTTTCAGTCAACATTATGGTGTGGGATTCATCTATGTTGTTCTGAAACAACATAATTGATGGATCTTTGTAATGGCTGAGCAGTATTCTAGTGTATGGATTGACAAGATCTGGATTCAGTTACCTGTTTACATTTGAGTTGTTCCCATTTTTCACTTTTGTGACGAAAGCTGATGCAAGGACTTGTGTGCAAATCTTTTTTGTGGAAAAAAAAAACCTTTTTTGTACAAAACTCATAAGTGAGTTTTCATTTCTCATTTATCTAGGAGTGGGATTTGGGGGTTATATAGTAAAAGTATATGTTGAACATAATTACAGAGGAAACTGCCAAACTGTTCTCCAAAGAAGCCACACCACTTTACATCTCGACCAGTTGTGTATATCTCTTTTTTTAAACAATTTTTTTCAAAGACTTTATTTACTTTTTTTTTAAAGATTTATTAATTTATGCTCACAGAACGGGGGTACAGGCCAGAGGTGTGGTAGGTGAGAGGATTCACCAGAGACACAGGGGGGAGCAGAACAGGCAGATTGACAAAGTACACTGCTGAGGGAAGCAGCGGGCGGGCCAGGAGAGGTCTGCCATGTGGGTCACCCCACTGGCCGGGGATTGAACTCATGCTGCAGTGGCTAAGGACAGCCTCACAGTGCTGGCTTCCAACCTCTTGTACCACCAGGGAGGGCCCAAATCAGATATTTTGTATCATTCTAATCTGGGTGGCTTCACCCATTCATCAAACTTTCATCAAGCACCTACTCTGTCTTAGCCTGTAAAAACAGGGTGAATAGGCCCTCCCTGGTGGCACAGCGCATTAAAGCACAGCACTAAGAAGCTAAAGCCACTTCTGCATGAGTTCAATCCCCGCCCTGGAGGTGATCCACATGGCACAGACCTCTCCTGGCCCGCCCGCGGCTCCCCTCAGCAGTATACTTCATGATCTGCCTGTTCTGCTCCCCGCTCTGTCTCTGGTGAATCCTCTCACCACCCCTGCACCTCTGGCCTGTACCCCAGTTCTGTGTAAATTAAAAAAAAATAACCACAGGGTGAATAAAACACAAACCCTGGTCTTTTTCTAAAACTAGTGGTTTTAGTGTAAGTAGATGGCAAAAGACCCTGTAAAACAAGTTCAGGAACTGGGTTATTATGCTGTGGAGAGCAGCAAGACCCCAAGGGGGTAAGAGGAGTGGCCATTCCGAGAGACCAGTGTCTGAGAATTTCTGTTTCAGTTCTACCCGGATTTACCCTGCTAGGAGCTACTTGTAATTCCAGCACGGCCTTATTTTGCCAGGCACATTTAATTACATTTTTCTAGTCCAGGAGGGAGAGTCCTATCCCTGCCTGCTTTGCAGGAACATGTCATCCTTCATCCTTGTGACTTGCACTCAGTAATATTGTCTGTGCTGCTTGAGTGTGTTTTAAATTAAAGCACCAGGGAATGTGGAGATGGTCATTAAGTTTAAGTGCATCTATTGTTAGCAAATGATGTCACTGCTAAGTTCTCCAACTTGTCACAAGAAGTCTGGATATATTTCAGGCTTCTGCAGCAAGGACAGTCCCTGTTTTGCAGCGCACAGGCTATGAATACTATCTGCATTCTGTGAGGAGCAGGAGAGCTTTTGGTGCACATTTAAAATAACATTGGCTCTCAGAAGCAAACATTCTGTCCCAATGAGTCAATCAAACTTCATACCCTTCTAGGTAGGACAAATGGCAAGGAGCTAGCTTGGTAATTATATAAATGTCAACCTCTGTTTTTTGGAGGCTTCTGAAGGTAGAAAGTCATGTCCTATTACCATAATGTCCCTGAGCCCTGTTCCAATTTTTTTCTTATTTATTTATTGTCTCCGCGAGAGAATATAAGTTTCTCCAGCACAAATGTTATGCAGTTATATCCCTCATCATCTCCCTGCGTCTACTAAAGCAACCATGTGTACCTGTTGAGTCACAGAATAGAGCAAGTTTTCTCTTTAAAAAGGTAGGCTGAAGAGTAGGAAAATTCTATTACTGCTGTCTTAGAAGTGTCTGGGGAAAATATCTCTACCAACACTGCACACAGAGGTCTCTTACATGGATAGTTATAACCTCAAAAATCAAATTCTCTCAAGGATCAGAAAAACCTAGAATGTGTAGATAACTTAACAAGGAATTTTTCCTTGAATGATCTCAGTTGATTTGAGCAGCTGGAGCTGCAGAGGTGTGGAAAAGTTTGTGATGAGTCTTTTTGCTATGTTAACACCCAGACAATAACAGGATAAAAACTTAGGGGCAGTTTAAACATCGATATCACACAATCCACACATATTCCTCACTTTCCCTTCTTCCTTTCAGAAGATGCTTTCTTTAAGAGATTTCTTGAACTAAGTGAGCTTAAAATAATGCAATTGGAAAACCACTGTTATTTTTGGTGATCATACCAATGAATCATATCTGAAATCAGAATAAGAAAGTCCATTTATTTGGCTCAGGAGTTTTGTTTTTAAAAAAGGGACAAACAAAACACCCCACCACCTACTGTTTTTGCTCATTGTCAGTAGCCTCCCCATGCTCAAACCTTCAAGGAAAACTAATGGGAACTGCTGTCGAGGTAGAGCTTTCTGGAAGCCACTTGAAGACCCACCTCCCTGGGGAAAATCTCTGCTAGGGGACAGAAGGAGCAGGCCTTGCACTCACCAAGCAGCGACAGAGCCAGCATCCTGCAGTCTTTCACACACCTGGTGGTGTAGAACCACCCCACTGCGGGCTCCCTACCTGAGGGGAGAAAAACGTGGTCACTGGGCACCACAAGGGGTCCCTTGAGAAGGCAGATGCTCGGTCCCCACACTCCACACCGCCTGCTGAATGCCCACACTCATTCCCCCCCCCCCACCTTGGTGTTTGGCTAAGGGAAATCAGTAACAACCCACATTAGCACGATCAGCAACTCCCTCCCAATGGAAAGCTTGGAACCCTTCATCAGGCCAAACCCTGTCTGCCAGTCAAAAGGGAGCACTGGCAACCCAGCGAGAAAGTGGTCCAAGGAACCCTCTGCCAAGGGGCCTCAGTGAGCTGTCCCCAAATGCCACTTACCATCCTGGCGGGCTACCTGCTCCTCCTGTGGAGCCACCCTCTGCTCCCCCAGCCCATGGATCCCCCAAGTCAGGCAGAGGCAGAAAAATACTCCAACTGGAGAAGCAAAGCCAGGAAGGGGAGGGAGCGGGCTAAGGAGGAGCAGTTGCTGGTGCAGGCCTGACTGCTTATTTATCATTCTCCAGAGTTAATGGCAGGAAAATCCTGTATCAGATGAGGATTAACAGAGATGAAAGAATGTGTGTGCCTTTTGAATCACCAAAGCCAACAGCAGATTTTGCTGACACACCAATCGGCTTTGTCCTCTGGCCTCAGCCACGCTGGCCCTCCGCCCTCTCCATCTGCTTCTGTCCCTTTCTCTCCTTAAACTCTCCACAGACCCCGCCTGCTGCGCTGACCCCAACCCCAGCCGCAAGCAATATGCAGTCAGAAGTTGGCTTTTTGCCACCCAAAGAGCATTATCAGCATTTTCAACAAGGACATGTTATATAACTTGGAGAGATGGGGAAAGGACAAGACAGCTTCAAATAATGATATTTTCGAGAAATGCAGGCTGCAGACTTCTCTTCCTTGGAGGAGTCGATGGTGGATGAAGCAAAGCACACTGTGGTGCGGACTCCAGTCTGGTTTCTGGGTTGAGGGTGCACGGGGTGCCGCCCAGGCCAGCACAGATCTGGGCCATTTTCTTTTCTTTTTATTTTAGGATTTATTTTTATTTATTTATATCACAAGAACTAGGGAACAGGCCAGAGGTGTGGGGGTGTGAGAGGAGTCCCCAGAGACAGAGTGTACAGGCAGATGTACTGAAATACACTGCTGAGGGGAGCAGCGGGTGAGACAGGAGAGGCCTGCTGTGCCATGTGGGTCACCCCTTGGCCAGGGGTCGAACTCATGCTGCGGTGGCTGCAATAGCTTCATAGTGCTGAGACTTTAACTTCTCTGCCACCAGGGAGGCCCAAGGCCCTTCAAAACCTAACTGCTGTTTCTAAGCCCATCCTGAGTTAGGCACATGTCAGGCAGAGAGGTCTGCTAGGCCCATGGCCACTGGCAGCAGCAATAGTATGAGGGGCTGGTTAGGAATTCAGAATCTCAGCACCCACACCCCTACCGCAGACCTCTGAATTCAGCTTCTGCATTTTAGCAAGGGTCCTATGCCTAGCAAACTGCAGCACGAAAGTCCCAATTTAGGGAAGTGGCCGAAGAGGCCTGACCAAGGTGGTGGCCACAGTTCTGCTGCCCCACATTCTTCTGGCCCCAGCATCTGCCGCAGCACCAGGCCTGGTTCCAGGGCCTGGACGTCTGTTCTGTTAGGACGGTGCTCCAGGTCTTATCTGTGGCAACCTGCCACCTTCTGGCACTGCCAAAGGGTGTGCTGGCAGTTCCCTTCCCTAAACAAGGGTTCTGGGTGTGAATCGAGATGCCTGATTCATTTACCCTGTGCCCTGGGGAATTTTCTCCCATTTGCACCATCCGATGACTGAACTTGCCATGACCTCTGCGGGAAAGGAGGCAGTGCTGGAGCTGGGGCAGGGATGTGGAGAAGGAAGCCCCCAAGGGGCAGCTCACCCTGCACCAGTGGAGAATGGACAGCACCCCTCTGCTGTCCTCGGGTGTTGCAGGCCTTCTTGCTCCTTCATTTCCTGTGTTGGCTCAAGGGTCCCACTCCCCCTGCAGCAAGCCAGAGGCTGAAACGTGGCGGACAGCCCTTCTGCGGCCCACTAGGTCAGCCTCACCTTCAGTCCTCTTCAGGTTAGTGGGCCTGTTGCTAGGAGCCGAGGAGCTCTCTGAGGAAAACCTTCTCTGCCTGTGAAATCAAACATCTCTCCCTAGTAGAAAATAAGGAGCAATCAGGGACTCTCAGGGGAGAGCGGAAGGGGCCTGCCCACAGGGACTCCCACTGGCAACTGGGAGATCGATCGGCAGACTTGGACTCAAAACCTTGCCTCAGAGGCAAAGAAGAAAACAAGGACATAGAGGGGTTGTCACAGAGCAAGAGAACTGAGTGGTGTACCCCCAAGGAGAGACTTCAGACTGGTCCCTGTTAAACAGCGATCAAGATAGCCTGCCCCAAGTCCCTGGGGGCTTAGGGTAGATTGTACCAAAGCAGGGTCTCCTTGCTGGCTGCTGGTGACCAATGGAAGGGGCTGGAGAAGGGAGGAGGGGTAGCCCATGATGCATCCCTTTGCCTTTGCAGGTGGCCTTCTAGAAAAACTGGTCAGCAGAGTGGGTATGGGAAGCCCTTGTGTTTCTTTGTAATTCTGCTCCAGCAGGTTGGGGGGTAGACAGGCGGACCCAGCAAGGGGCTTCAACGAAGACTAGACAAAATTCCTCCTTCAGGTTCAGATGTCCAGCAGCTTACTAAACTGTGCTCTTTTACTGTTCCTTCCCTGCTCCCAGCTTGTACATACATACATACACGCACCACATGGAGACAAGACCAGTCCACCTAGGCAGAGGGCCTGGGCCGGGAGAGCCTCACCCCAAGCAAATGCAAGGCAGGGCTTCAGGTTTGATGCGAGGCAGGTGGGCAAACCCCCGGCACACCCCGGGAAGGAAGTTGGCCATCCTTTGTTGGAGACCTTTTACAGAGAGCAAACCTCTGGCCAAAATGCAATAGGAAATGTCCTCATGCTTAGTTCGGGTTACCCCAGAAGCAGATCTTAAAACCAGGACATGAGTGGAAGGTCTTGAATTGGGAGCCCATTGGGGGAGCAGCCACAGAGACAGGGCCCTGTGAGCAAGTGGAGACTTTTTCCAGCAAACTGGGGAACAGAATGATTTCAACTACAGGGCTGAGAGCCAACTCTCTTATCTAGCAGTCCTCCTCCTGGGTAGAGAGAGGAGATAAGGCTGCTTTTCATTCTCCAGCAGCCTCTGCCTACCAGCAAAATAGCATAGATGCACTGATTCCAAAGAAAACTTCTTTCCAGAACCATCTCTTAGGACAAACCAGGTGGTGAGAGGATTCCTTATAAAAGCTGGGAATTGCGAACCTGCCCCAATTTGAAACTGGAAAAGCGCCCATTCGTTACCAGGAGAGGTGCAGAGACAGGCATCATAACTTGTGCTCTGGGCAGAGTTGCCCCAGGACAGGCTGTAGGACCTTGTCCTGCTCTGATAGTGAAGCTGCCCTTCAGGAACTTCTAGATGGGGTCGCCCCACCCTACTACTGCAGATCTCAGTACTGGAGGCTTGCCTGCTATTAGGACACAGACCTGCCTCTAAGCTCTCTACACTGTGCTCACTATTCGCACACTCAGATGCTGAATGGCCCCCTGATCTCTGTTCCTTTCTTCCCTATTTCTCCACCTGCTGAAACCCCAGCCTTTCCAACAGGCTTAGTACAAGTGCTACTTCCTCTAGGAAATTAGCCCTTTCCTGGCACCCTCCCTCCTCTCCTTCGGCCTCTCCTGGCACCTGTTAGATGGCCCAGGACTGTACTTCATTGAATCTGCTCCTCTTGGCCAAGCAGGAACGAGGCCCCGGGCAGGTTGTCACAGGCCAAGGGACTTGCCACGTTCTTGGTACCTGGGACCTCTGAATACTCTGCCCGCTCCATTCTTGGTCCATCCCAAGGATAGACAGCGCCATCCATGTGCACACTGGAGAGATGGCCTTAAGGAGCAACTGTTTGCAGAGATTGGACAGAACTCAGGCGTGAGAATGTGTGGCATTCTCTTGAGTGTGCGGGCCTTGGTGGTGTGGGATGGATCTGGCTAGGAAGCAAGGGAGGCCCCATCACAGACCTGGAGCTGAGGCTGCTCAGAATGCTGAGGAATGTAAAAAAACCAAACTTGAACTTGGCTTTACAGGTAGTTACAGAAATGTTTCTATAGGTGGGAGAATAGAACATATATTTTTCAAACAGTTTGTAAGCCTAATATACAACTTCTAAATATTTAGACATATAGTATGTGGCGATCTTGCGTACTCTTGCCCTGGGTCCCACAAACATGAGGGGGGAAGCCTGTGTTTGGCAAACAAGTGGAGGTGCACAAATGTCTGCTAAAGAGAATTGAACCCCGGGTGAGAATTTGAATGGGGAGCTACAGAAAGGGATTGGGGAGAGGGACAGCCTCGGCCCCTGGCCCACCTTTTTCACTGACTGACCAGGTGGTGTCAGGACAGGCACCTGCAGCCCCCAACCCTATAGTACTAGAAACACTTTCCATACCCTAGTCATTCTCCGAGGAGACTGACACCCACAAAGTTTAAGTGACCGTAGTGGAAGTGGACCTCAGACCCAGTTCTCCTGTCTCCCATCTGAGACCCTAGCAAGACGGGATCACCGAAGACCCCAGAGGTCCCTGGCTGCCTGCGCAGGGGGAAGCAGCAGGCGGAGGCAGCCATTGCACTTCCTGCAGGGCGCCCCTAAACTACCCTACGCTGAGCCGTGCTGTCGTTCAGGCACAAAACTCCTTTGATCTCTCTTAGCCACTACCCTGTTTCCCTGTTGTTTCACTTCCGACCTTCCCACCCAAATTCGACTCAAAGGGATCAACTGGGGCTCAGGGGCCTCTTCTGGAATTGGCTGGGGGGAGGGGCTGGAGAAGTGCATTCTGCCCACCCCTGATGGAATGAGGTCGCCTCCGCTGCAGGCCCAGACACAGTCGGGGCGCGAGCTCGCGCCCCCTTCCGTCCCCTCAGGCACAGGCCGCGAGACAGCGGTAATTGAGGGGCGGTAGTCAGCTAGTCACTGCTCTGGACGTTGCACCCCAGTTCCTCTCTCTTTCCCTCCTCCCCTCCCCCGGCGTCGGAGAACGAGTTCAGCTCGCTAGCCCCGATTGGCAACCACGCGTGACACAGTGGTTTTCTTCCCCCTTAAGGTCACGTCCTTGCGAAACCGCTGCAGCTTCTGCAGCATCCGCCCCGCCCCGGAGGCGGAGAGGCGGAGCATCCCGGAGCTGGCCCCACTCCGCCCCTAGCCGCGCGCCGCGTGGCCGCCAGAGGGTGCTGAGGCCCCGGTGCCCGGACGGGGTGGCCCCCACCCCCGCGCCGCTCTCACCAGCTCCGCGGGGCGGGGCAAGGGCCCCGGGAAATTCCCAGGGCGCGTCTGTTCCGGAAACGTTAGTCACGCACCTGGAGCCGCAAAATGTCCGGCTAGAGGGAATGCCAGACCGGGGACCTACCAAAGGTCACATCCTTGGGTGGGTGGGGGTGGAGGTCCTCCAGCGCCTCCTGACCCGGCCATGTGGCTCTAACAGAGGCTGATCTGTACTAGAAGAAGAGCAGGCCCTGGTTCCCTTCCTCCCATTGCGGTCATCAAATACTGCCCACTGCCGAAACATACACCTCCTTGAGCCCCTTTTAACACCTTCGTTCTTGACACATCAAAAGTTTACTTCCCTTCAGATGCCACTGACAGGAAACAGCGTTCCAGGTGTGGGGCAGACAAAGAACAACCTGAGCCGGAAATACTTCATTATTTCACAAGACAAGCCCTTGTGGAGTGGTTCCACTGGCCCAAGGTGGAGGAAGCATCAAAAAGAAGTGACTGTAATGAACTGCAAGGTATCAAATGCTGAATACATTCTGAAAAGTAATAATTACAGGGCAAAACTCAAATGGTTTAAGGTAACCGTATTCACTAGTTAATGAGGGAGAGTTTTTTAATAAACTGTTTTTTTTTACTCACAGCTAATAAATGTAGAGGTGATGGAATGAGAAATCATGGTGTTGCAGTGAAATTACTGATCATCCAAAACACACAAGTAAATTTCAGGTGGCTCTTGATGTGGGCTTACTCAGAGTACCCAGCTTGCGCTACCATTTAAACAAGTAGGAAGGATGGAAAAATATGTTAAAAGACACCAATGATACAATGAGCTAAATATAGACTGTGGAAAGTTCTGCAGGGCAATTGATCCAGTTTTTCCTATAAATGAATGGAATAGAGGAAGAGTGGGAAGATGTAAAGGAGTAAAAGAGATGTAAGTAAAAGCAAGTTAACAATAAATGCAATGGTCCCTCCCTAGTGGCTCAGTGGGTTAAAGCACAACACTATGAAGCAATTCAGTATGAGTTCGATCCCTGGCCAAGAAAGTGACCACATGGTGCAGCAGACCTCTCCTGACCCACCCCCTGCTCCCCTCAGCAGTGTATTACTGTACAGCTGCCTGTTCTGCTCCCCACTCTGTCTTTGGTGAAGCGTCTCAGCCTTCCCCACCACCCTCAACCCTCCTCACCTCTGGACTATACCCCGTTCTTGTATGCATAAATAAATAAATCTTTTTAAAAAAACAATACAATGTTTGGACAGTTTTGAAAGAATCAGTAGGAATGAAATGCAGGCTAAGTGTTAGATATACAGAATTGGTTTTCTATTGGGTGTGATAATAGCCTTATGGTTTTATTTTTAAAGTTGTATGCACAAGGGAAAAAAATAAAGTATTTATAGTGAGATGATATAATGTCCAGAATTTGCCCTAAAATACTCCCACAAAATAAGTGATAGGATGGGATTAAAACAAAACAGCAGCCAAGTTGATAACTGTGCAAACTGGGTGATGAATATACGAGGGTTTCTCTACTTTTGTGTGTTTGAAAAAAATGTTAGACCCTTCATTTGGCCCCTTTCGGATAAAGAGGGGAAAACATTTTTCTATTTTTCTGCATTCTCCTCCATTCCTATCAACCTTCCTATATTTCTCTTACTTGAAATGAAAACAACTTACAAAAAATGCAATAATTAGCACTTCTCCTTCAATCTATAACTATACTATACATAACTCAGAACTCAAAATGGTTAAACCAAATAGGCAAGTGAGACTCAGAAACTCTGAGGTTTATGGCCTTGGATTTGTCTGGGTTTTCTTATTTGTTTTTCCCTTTGTTTGAACAACAACCAGAGGTGACTTATAATAAGTAATACTTTCTTATGCACTCCTAAGAATGCTGTTTTGGCTCCGGTGTCTAGAGCGTCAAGGTATGAACAAATTTGCACTTCTCATTTAAAACTTCTGAATGTCAATTCTTGGTGGAAGCGAAGGGGAAAGGTTGAACTTATTGTTGAGCTGTGGAGAGACAGCTTTATTCTGCTCAAATCCTTCCCCCTCCATAGAAGTCTTGGCTTGTGTTTCACTTTCCTCTTTTGTAAAATGAGGCTGCTTTAATTCTTCTTAGTGGAGTTATAAGAGCTAATTAAAGGCTGTGGAGGCACTTTTTAAAAAGATCCTAAGATGTACCATACTTGAGAAGTGAAAACTATCATTAATATATTTTAATCATCATGTTAAATACCCACATAGACACACCCACCTCTTCTCCATTCAGGCAGATTTTTGCAAAGGTGTAATTAAGAATGATGACGTCATAACCACAGAATCCCACTTTCATCCTGAAAGCTGCAAAGTTCTCAAATACTAACTCCTTATTAGACTTCTAAACATTTTAAAAGTACAAAACCCCCATATCAGAGGAAAAGCAATGCTGGAAAGAGAAACATTCTCTTTGTAAACAGAGTAAAAGAACATTTTCAAGTAGACATCTTTTCAGTAAGTGTGCCAAGAACCCAGAGGGCAACAGTAATAAAATAAAATAAAATGCTGAAATTGCTGTTTGGAGAATCAACTTGGCTGCCTCCAAAAAGACTCTCAGAGATCTGTACTTGTCTTTTAAGTCCTTAGCAGGAAGGAGGAGCCTCAAGATTCTCGACTCCTGGCACCTGGAGAGGGATCCCAGGTAACTTTTTAGCCACTAAACGCCAACCCCTGTGGGCAATAGTGACACTGATAATCCAGACAGCAGCTACATCAGCTCTTTGCAATTCTAATGCAGTGGGCTCAAACCCCCTTGTGGAGGAAAACACTGTCATAGTTCAACATCTACAGGAAACCACGGAAGAGTGGGGTGCAGCAAGACAATGGTACCCTTTACCTAGAGACTTTCGGTTCTGCTTTCTGGCTCGCTCAGAATTCTCTCACTTACATTTTACTTCTTGTTTTTTCTCCATTCCAGGTCAACCTTAACATGTAATACAGCCTTTTTTCCTTGATCTCCCCAAGATACCCTCACCAGAACGGCTGTGGATGTGTAGCAGACTTTTGCTGAGAATTTGGAGGCAGCCATGGGAGATTAACTCACTGGGGAGCACAGAGGAGAGCTTAAGACCCAACAGTAGCTACTTCAGCCACACTCTTCCCGTTTCCCCGCGGGGCCCCTTCCCTGGGCGTGTCTCCCCCTCGGCTCCACCTCCAGCCACTCCGCGGAGCTTTTCCCCTCCCACACCTTTGTTCCTCTCGCTCCGAACTCGCTCAGACACCCGAAGTTCTTTCTTTTCTTCTGTTGAAGAGTCGCTTCAGTCTCATTCCCAGCTGACCCCAGCGTGTGATCTTCCCACAGCCACAATAGCCCATCAGTGTTTCTAAATAAAGGCAGTTCTCCCCCAAGAGTTCTATTACGTATCACTCAGGAATGTTTTTCAGAAATTAAAAATGTCTGCGGTAATCAGCAAAAAAAAAAAAAAAAAAGCCATCTAATAATGGCCCTAGACCAGCAGCTCTCAAACAATAGATTGCAGGGTTCCTCTCCACTTTTAGAAATCATTGAGAGTCCCTGGAGCATCAATTCATCCAGCTAGAGGAAAGTCTCAACTAA